GTCTGTATTCCCTCTTAAGAACCTGATCATCTCCTCCTGTTCGGCTGCGGGCATCGAGGTCCCAACTAGGAAATACTTCTCTTCTTCTCCTTCAACCAGGGCACCTTCCGGAGGTCTTCAACCGATCGTTCAGCTGGGTCTACCCGGGGGTCATCCATCCCCGGACGCCCGGACTGTAATTGCTATTTTTATGATCTCTTCCGGTGCTCGCCCCTTCTCCTGGCTGGACGCCCCGGCTCGGACGGCCGAATAAAAACAGTTCTTCGCAGACGCTTGATCCCCCCGGATCTCCATGACGCCCTCTGGCGTGGCGAACTTCAACTTCTGGTGGAGAGTGGAGTGCACCGCTCCCAACGCGTGCAGCCATGTTCGCCCCATAATCACGTTGTAAGGAGAGTCCGTGTCGATCACCACAAACTCTGTGTCGATGACGAAGGGACCAGTGGCGACCGGTAATGTAATTTTCCCCACGGGCAAGGCGAAAGAGCCGTTGAACCCGATGAGGGGTGTCCTGATTTTGGTTAAGTCTTTGGGGCCAAAGCCCATCCGCTTCAAAGTCTCGAAGTACATCACCTCCGAGGAGCTCCCTGAATCTATCAAAATTCTCTTGACATCGAATTTCCCTATCTTTAGGGTCAAGACAAGGGCGTCGTTATGAGGAATCACCACGCCTGTCAAATCCGCGTCAGAGAACGTAATGCCAAGCTCTCCCATCCTGGCCCTTTTACTTGATGGCCCTACATCTCCCTCGGCTACCTTTCTCGTAAAGGCTACCCTCTTGAGGTCGGATTCGAGCTCTCTGGACGTGGGACGCTCCAGCGGACATACATGGATGACGTCTATGACGTTGTCCGGTTCCTCGGTCGGGGCAAGGGCTCGTTTCTCTTCTGGCCTAGGCTCTATGTATTCTTTCAATATCCATCTCGGACTAAGCTCTCCAAGAATGACTTGAACACCCTGCAGCTCTCGGTGCGATGCCCAACATCCCGGTGATATGAACACCTTACTTTTTGATCACGGGTGGAGGGGTCGCTCTGCATCCTGGGCGGCCATTTGAAGAACGGCTCGTGTTTGATTTTATGGAGCAACCTGAAGATGGGTTTCCTTGAAGACGGTGTGAACTCCTCTGGACGAACCCCCTGGATGGGGTAGCAATCCCTTTCGGGGAATATCTTCGCGCTCTTTCTCCTTTCTCTTGGATTGGAGGGCTCGGCCTTTGTTGCTTCCCATCTCGTCCTCGACCCTTGAGTACTTGTTGATCCGGGCCATCAGTTCCCCCATATCCGAGGGAGTCTTCTTGGTCAGGGATCGGTACAGGTCCGTGTCCCTTGCCAAGCCGAGCCGGAAAGAAGCTGCTGCCATGACCTCCGAGCATCCCTCGACCTCATTGACCTCTTCCCAGTATCGGATGGCGTACTGGCGAAGAGTCTCGGATTCCCTCCGTCTGAGGGTCAACAATGATCCAATGTCCTTGGGGCGCTTACTCCCCGTGATGAATCGGGTTAGGAACTGCCTTGTCAATTCTTTCCAGGACCCAATACTGTTTGGTGGAAGCGTCTCGAACCACCTCATCGCAGAGTCCCCCAAGCTCATAGGGAACACCCGGCATAGAAACCGTTGGTCCGAATGATAGAGGGACATCATCTGCTTATATTGTCTGATATGGGCTTCGGGATCGGATCGCCCATCATAGGTTTTGAACCGTGGCACGACGAACTTTCTTGAGACATCCATCTCACTGATTTCCCTCGTGAAGGGTGTTTGCATGACTTCGTCCTCGGCTTCGTCCTGGACAGTCTTACCCTTTCTTCTGGAGTCTAATCGGGCTCTGAGATCTACTTCTTCCCTTACGGGATGCCTCCTGAAGTCCCTGGGTTCATGGGTAAGCCCCTCGTCTCCCGGGCGTCGTGTAGATTGGGTCGAGTCCTCCTCGGATTCATCTCCCTTCCTCCGTCTGGACAAACCTCGCCGGAGGTCGTCCAGGGCCAACGGCCTCGCTTTCCTGGAATGGTTGTCAAGATGGCATTCGCCGGCTCTGGGTCGCTTCGGGGCCCTGGAGCTTTCTGCTTTGTGATCCAGGTGGTTTCTTAGATCCTTTGTCTCCGCCTCATGGACGGGGAGCCCTCGGGAAAGGAATGAATCCCTCGACCCTCCGCCTGAGGCGGCAAACTCGTCGAGCCGGCTAAGGACGTTTACATTGTCCTTCTCCAGCTGACGTAATCTATCTCCAAATTTCTCTTCTATCACCTCTGCCAGCTGACGGGCCAAGGGGGCTGATCCTCCTGACCTGATCCCCATACTGGTTTGGGGGGTTACCCCCCTTGACCGAGTAGAGGCACTTTTAATCGTACTGGTGCGATCCCTCCCTCCGTGATGGCAGGGAGCCTGCAACTCATGACTCCTTTGGTGGGTTCCTTTCCCTTTCTGTCTGGTGTTCACCATGGTCACTGTTCTTTATAGAGAAAAGATTAGGAAAACTACTCGTTTCCCACAGACGGCGCCAGATTGTGCGTGCAAGATCCTGCACAATATAAAAAATACTGGGAACAGCTCTCTCCCCTGGTGAACTTTGAGTGAGCCAGTTGAGTGGCCGAACACACTGCTTGAAACAGCCTACAAGGAACGGTGGCAACCTGGAACGGCAAAAGAAGATCTTGGGAAAGGAGGAACGATCCTGTACGTGTGAAAGATATTTCCTGGAACAAAGGAGAACAAGTTAGAAGGGCGCCGGAGTGTTTTCCGGTGTATCCCCTCCGACGGTCTAGTCAGTCTTTGAATGAGAGAGAGGAAGGAGAAAACACTGATAAGGATATTTTGTAGTAGTGAGTTTTTGATTGCCTACCGGCTTTGCCTTTTGGGAGGAGTATTTATACCTTAGAAGCTCATGATTGCTGTCAGTGTGGTCAGTAGGTGATCATCAGGCACAGGTAGCGTGTGTATTGATTTGATGAGGAATGTCCTCTCTAATTGATTGCTCGGGGTCCCGAGCAATCAATGCTGAGCCGTCGGGACGCCGACGGTACAATATGCTCCTTTCGGGAAGGATGCAATAAATGCTCTGTAATAGGAGCATTTATTGCCTTTCATATCCGAACCTTACCGCATTGAATGCGGTCTCGTCAACAGAAGGTGCAATTAATTTGTTTGCTTTCTCAAGTCGCGTGTCAGCGACGGCATGCGGTTTGTCTGCTTCTGATGTGACATTATTTGCCACACGTCCATCCCTTATTGGCTGTGACGTCGGTATTCCAGCATGTTCTGACATTACTTGTGTTAAGACGAGGTTATGATGAATAGTCTAGACTGGCATAGGCTGATGTCCCGTACGTCAGTAGCTTTATCCGGGAGTAGAGGGAGCGTCCAGGATGGAGTGACCCTCGGCACCGAGGAAAGACTCACCTCGGGGACCGAGGGCGGTATGTTTCCGAGCTACACGGTGACCGAGGACACGTGTCGTTGTAAAATGCACCGAATATGTGATCCTATATGAGAGGTACCTCGGGGGAGAGGACGCTTTTTGCCGATGGTGCTTGAACCCGAGCAACATTGTTCTAGAAATCCCGAGGACACGTGTCTTCATCATAGGGCTTTTCAGAAGAGTCCCATCATATGGTATGTGCGTTTGTGTTCTCTTTGTGTAGTCTGTGTGCATGTGTTGCTATGTGCGTTGAGTGTGTGTGTTCAATTTTCTCTTTTTCTCTGTGTGTGTTGTTCTGTTCTATTCGATTATGGAATGGTGCAATATTCATGCGTTGCTTTCTGTGGTTTGTTTGATATTTTGCTCACTATTTTTAATAATGTGAGCGTAGAATATGTATTTTTAAGAATCTAGTACTCCAATTGATTCTTGAACATCATTGGCCAAGTTCATAGCCTTCTAATTATTTAGGAATTGTGAGAAATTTTGTACCGGTTGATAGTGGCCACTTTAGGATTTTTTTTTTCTGAATTCAAAAATATACGTTTTTTGGTTATATTCCCGAAAAGTTTCGAAAAATAGTTTTTGGTATTCAAAGACACGTGTCCATGGTAATAGACAATAGACACAAAGATGGAGCAATCAATGGGTTCAATAGCAAAGTATTTGATACAATTTCAGAAACATATTTTGACAATTGTATAGTGCAACGTTGCCTTCCAATTGATGGTACAACTACAAAGATTGAATATATATCCTGTCAGCGATCTCCTTTGATCAAGATCCCAACATAATCTAAATCTACTTATCCAAAATTACTACCAGAAATGTTATTTCCTATGCAGTAACTCATAGATATCGAAGAGCTTGCCAATGGACCTTCCCTGATCGATCCATATATCAGCCAACCAAACTTACGGCGAGTGAAATATCTGGCCTAGTGTAAATCATAACATACATAATGGTTTCAACTGCACTAAAATAAGGAACATGTGACACAACCTATAGTGAAAAAACAACCAAGAGTTTAAAATGAACGGCAGGTGGAGTACTCACATGCTTTGACCATTGCATTCCAAAGCGCTCCAACACCTTCTCAATGTACCTTTTTTTATAAGTACAACCTCCCCGCTTCTCAATCCCTATGGTTTAAAAAGATCTATGAATTAAGGATTTTGTAAGAGATTCGGATTGACCTATTTGAACTAGATCGTATCATCGCGGAATTCCATTATTCAGATTGAGATTTTGATACCCAATAAATTGTGTGAACCAAACTAGAAAAAAGGATTGCTTGAGGGTGGATGGAACCTAGCTTAGACCGCCCAAGTGCCCGATTCGACATCAAACAAGTTAATTGCACTCCAAGCTGAAACAGTTACATTTATATGTTAGCTGATGGAAGCTGAACATAAACAATGGTCAGTACAAGTAATGCTGAACATCTACTAAAGCAGATGACTTGAACATATTACAACAAGAACAATATCAAAAGGTAGAACTCGGGCATGTGACACTGCAGAATTTTATTTCACACAGATTTCCTCGCCTAAGAGTAGCAGATGCAGCATCAATGTGCTATTTATTTAGGAGCAGTCGCAGCTTGGAGGCGAGCTTGGAAAGAGGCGACAAGTTCATCTTTAGGATGCAAATTTTCCATGATGATGTTACAGTTGACAAACTCATCGATCCATTCGCATAATTTTGGGTATTTCTCTTTTGTCAAAACCTCAACTCCAATTACTTCTTGGGTAATTGAAAACCAATGGCCTATGAAATTAGCAGCAATATCAGCCAGTCCAATGGTGTCACCTCCGAAGAATTTCTTATCCTTGAGTTCACTGTCAAGAATTTTCAGCACCTCACTTGCTTCTTCCTTGGCTTTCTCTTGTTCCTCACCTTGGGTCCAGTAAGAGTTACACAGTGGTAGCAAGCACTAAGCACACCAACAATACATTTTAGTTTTGGGTGATGTGAAGACCGAAAGACTTTTAAATCAAGCACGGATATAAATATCACCGCAACCCCCAAATTTTTTTTTTAAAAAGCACTAATTTTTACTTTCGAAAATTATAGATTGTCTCATCATAGTATACCTCAAAAATAGACATGACTAACTAAAACATCATATCAACATTCAGCTTGTTGATTTGCTTTGATGTAGTTGTTGTCTATAGATAAGAGGCAGTCAACTTATTTTCTGCTCTGATGATTTGTGCCAATAGATCATGATTAAAACTACTAGTGTCATTGATATTTGTCATGAAAAATGGAGAAAAAACGGTAATACTATTTAGATTTAAAATCTGTTGACGTAGTTTCATTGAAATAATTTGATGAAGAAAAAGTTTCAATATTTAAATGGGACCCACAATCAATCTATGATCTGGTTTCATTGGATGAAGAGGAAGTTATAACATTTCATGACACCCACAATCAATCTATGATGTGGCTTCATTGGATGAAGATCAAGTTCTAATATTTGATATAAACTACAATCAATCTAAGGTCATAATAAATTATGTCAGCAAATAAGGTCGGATGTTTAGATCCAAATAACATTACTCGAGGAAAAATTGGTGTGCGTGCAGGATCTTGCACAATATAAACACTAGAACAGATCTCTTCTATGGTGAACACGTGTCCGACAATCGGGTGGTCGATCTAGCTACTCGAACAGGTTGTGAGGGTCGAAGATGGCCCAAGGTGGATAATGAATCGTTTTTGTGAGTCGCCTGAGTAATCCTAGAAGGCTAAATGAGATTCCTGGAACAAAGAAAAACAGGTTCGGCGTATCCCCTCTAATGGTCAAGTCAGTTCTTTGAGAGAGGGAAAGAAGAAAACATTGTATGATGGTTGAGAGAGGGTTTGTTGCGTACCCATTTTCTGTGTTTGTGAGGACTATTTATACTTTAAAAACTCATCATTGTTATCAGCATAGCTAGTAGGTAATCATTAGAGATGGGCAGTGTGCACACCAATTTCTATGAGTGATGTTCTTATTCTTTACTGCTCGGGACCCCGAGCAATTAATGCTTTCTCCTCGGTCTGCCAAACGTTTAATGATCTTCCCTCGGCGGGGGTGTATTAAATGTCCAGGCTTTGGAGCATTTATTACCTTTCACTTCCGAGCTCTCATGCATTAAATGTTGTCTCATCAAGGGAAGGGTGCATTAAATACTTACTTTCCCAAGTCGTGTATCAGCAAGGGCATTCAGATATTTCTGTCTCTGATTTGACACAATATGCCACGTGTCTATCCTCCTTTGGTTGTGCCTTCTGCTTTCTTGTGCTTTCTGACACCATTTGAGTAAGACGAGGTCATGATGGCTAGTCTAGCCCAGCCTAGGCTAGTGATCTGTCCATCAATAGCCCTTGTAGGAGCAGAAATTCCCACACAAATAGATACACCTCGGTGCCAAGGGACTAGTATAATTTAGGACTGATGTACCCAAACTGTCGAGGAATACATGTCAGTCTGAGGTGGTTTGGGTATCCTTGATCCCTGCGAACAGCATCCTCGGGGCAGGGGGATTGAAAACCGATGAAGACGTGTTGGTATCACAGTGAGAGTCTTCATTGACGCCGAGTACACGTGTCATCATCTGTGAGTGTCTGTAAATGTCCCATCAACTGTCCCTCAGCCTTCGATCTTTTGACGCCAAGGACACGCGCTGTAAGGAGACGAAGGGTTCTGCAACTGCCCTAACCACTCCATCATTGCTTCTAGCCATTTTTTGCCGCTTAGGAGGTCGTACGCATTAAATGCGCCTCTTCGTGCTTCGTGCCTAATGATGGGGAAGGGTACTATATAAACAAGCTCTCTCTCTCTCTTTCCCACACTTTTGCCATTTCGAACTCAGAGAGCTTTCGCCTGAAAACTTCGCCGGAGACCCCCTTTGTCACGTCGTCTACCAATCAGTCGTCACCGGAGTTTAGACCAGCAAACAACCACTTGTTTCTGAACCTTTTGGAGAGAGGAACTACTTCAAGCCCTTCAAAATCCTTCATTCGCGTTCTGGTGAGTCCTTGTATCTGCCTCCTTCCGTCTTTCTGGGCTTTGTTTTTTATTCTTTGGTAACCGGAGGTGTTTCTGGTTGTCGTTGTGTGACCAACCCTCAGGGAACCCCTTGGGGATCTTTGTAGAAAAACTTTTTCTTTTGTCTTCAGTTTTTATCTTATTTGGAAATGCCCCGACGTCGTCCTGTCGCCAAGGATCCCCAGGTCAGTTCCTCGAGGTCAGGAAAGTACAAAGTGAAGGGGGATGAGCAGATCAATAGGTTTAGGGTCTGATACCGTATCCCCCCAAACGTACGTATAGAAGAGTACGACCCAATTTTGCATAACCATACTCTCGGGGCCGAGGATGAGATGTCCTTTTTCACCAAGGCAATCATAAAGGGTGGAATTAGGTTCCCCCTCCCTCCTCTACTCCTCCAGTTCCTCGCCCATTTCAACCTCTTCCTAGGGCAGTGTTGTCTTAACGTCTTTAGGATAATAATGGGGGTTTTAGAGCTTAACAACTGTCTCAGGATAAACGTTGGGTTCAACGATATCTTTTTTTGCTACTCCCTGTTGAGGGTCATGTCTCAGCAGAATTTCTACCTCAAAGCCAGGGATCCATCCATGTACCTTGTAACTCACCTCCCTGACTCGGACAAAGGATACAAGGATGACCTTCTGATCTTCAATGGATCCTAGCAGCGGGGGACCGGTCTCGAGTACAATGGTCTGATGTGCCCTTTTAATCGAGAACGACAAGTACGTCGACTTCTCTGAGTCTACTGTTTTTGTTCTTGGGATTTTTTTCAGTAGTGTTAATAACCTTCTTTCTTGTGCAGACATCTCCGCCTGGGAATTCGTTCCTCCCCCTCAGTCCTTGGTGAACTTTGCTAACCTTGTCACTGTTTGGAGATTTGTTGGTGACGACGGGTTTTGCCAGGCCGCTCACATCCTTCCGAACTACACAGTAGTAGGGTACAAAAAGTTCTCATAGCTCCCCCAACCTTTCAACCCTTTGCGGTGGTCTGAACTCTTCGATCAGGCTGCGCAACAAGAGGCTGAGCAGAACTTGGAGGAAAACCCTGACAGGGCTACTGAGGCGAAAGTAGAGGGTGCCCTTGAAGTTGAGGAGTTCGGGGCCAAAGAGGCTTTGGTTCCTTCGCACGTCGAGGTGGGGACTTTAGGGAGAGAATCGTGGCCTGACATCCACATCCTTCAGTCCCTAGATGCAGAGGACGCCTTTGAGGTAGCTATGTCGCGCACGCCTCGCATAGACCTAAGATTCCTGAGGTAGAGGCAGGCCCTTGCTGCTGAGAGAGTTCGAAGGTCAACCAGTAGCGCCCCATCAACAGGGACCAGCACCAACCCACTAGCTCCAAGGGTCGCTGGTCGGGGTCAAGTACGCGACCGAGATCCTCAAGTTAAGGAGGAGAAGAGGACCAAACAACGGCACGACGGCCCAGGCAGGGGATCTAGGGCCCCTTCCGCTCAACAGGCAAGCAGGAGGGGCCATGGGTTACCCTCTCCACCTCAACAACAACAACAGTAGTAAAGACAACAACAATAGCAACAACAGCAGTGGCAGCAACAGTAGCAGAGACAGACTCCACCTCCCCCTCCGTAGACGGTGGAAGCTGCAGAATGGAACTCTCGGGCTACTGATCATATGAACCAGGTGATCAGGGTCCACGATTCCATTCTGCAGGACCCCCATGTCGCCAACGCAATGAGTGAGATGCTCCATTTCAAAGCTAACATGGAGGCTCACAGGGGGCGAACAATGAATATGTTGTTCCGTTCCATCATTCAAAATTTCCTGGTGGTAAGTTCATCTTTGTTTCAGCCTTTTCTTGCTGCATCGCCTATAATTGACCAAGTTCTTTCCCTCGCAGGCCACCAAACAAATCTCCGTAATCGCTGCGTGATACCATGCAGCTAGGATGGACCTCCAACGAACCCAAAAACAGAAGGAAGAGGTTGAAAGAGCCCTGACCAGTGTGAAGGAGGACGTGGCTGCCAGGGACTCCACCCTTGTGGGGCAGGCTGCACAGATTGAGCAACTCCTTAAGGACAACGAATTGGCAAAGGTCGGCGCTGAAAAGTTAAGTGCTGCCTTGACCGACGCTGAGAGCAGGATCACACAGTAGACGCAGAGACTCTCTGCGGCCGAGGAGAGGGCCGTCGGGTCAGAGGAGAGCTTCCTGGCTCTAACTCAAGAGCTGGACAGGGTCAGGGCGGAAGCGGAGAATAGGAAGACTAAGGAGCAAATCCGAGAGGAGTTTGTCGATGATATATTACCCGCCCTCGAGGAGAACAACAAAGAGTTCTTCAAAAAGGGGTGGGATGAGGCGCTCCGAGCCACCGGCATCCCTCCAGACTCTCCACTCTTCCAGATGCACAATTACGTGTCGTCGGCAGAGATAGCGCAGGCTGAGGCCGAGATTGCTGCCGAGGGTGCAGCCCCAACACTGATGCAAGTTTTGGCAAATCCACCTGAGTTGGTAATTGTCGTCCCATCCGACGAGGCCCTGTCGGAGTCAGCCACTTCTGTCCTTGATTCCAACATTCTTCAGACCCTGCCTGCTGCTAATTCTGCCCCAGCTCTGCTTGCCCCCGAAGCTGCTCACCTCTTCTGCATTGATTCTTCTTGCAGTGACATGTTGGAGAACTTTTTTCTTTTTCGAACTGTACTTTTTAGTTTGAACGTTGTAGCCCTCATGGACGTAAAGCCCTTTGTTTTGAAATAAATGGCCTACTTTTTATTTTTTGAGTACTTGCATTGTCTATTGAAACTATTTCATCATATATATATTTCATCATCTTTTTTACATTGATGCTGTAGTAACCAGTGGTAACGAAATATCTCCATAGCTCGGATACCAGGGGAGCAATTTGGCTGATCTGCCTGATTGGTTCAGCTTTATCATTTCTGTG